TTTTTTTTTTTTTTTTTTTTTTTGAAAAATAATGTTGATACGATAATTCGATGATGATTATCTTCAATGGTCTTAACTTTCGCAGCTCAGATGCTTTATTCAAACTAACTTTAAACATTTGTCACGAAGAACCACTAGACGATAAGATTACTATTGGATTGTTTTTGTTTGTATATTGTTAGTGTTATAGTTAGACGTGAAAATGACTGCGAAACATGAAGTTTAACGCTGACGATTATGACCGCTTTAGGACATGAGGCTCGACGTAGTTTTTGCTCAAACTCAGGAACGTTTTATGAATATGCTATCCGAGCAAAGGAACCAATTAATAGCGATGTTTCCGGATCTATTCTCTGAGATGCGCACCGAATCTCAGTTATTGCCACCAGTTTCCACTGAAGTTGAAAAGATTGTCAATCCTGATGGCAGTGTAACAACAAGAATCCATTCTTCAAGAGCTTACAGGTTATTGTTGTTGTTGTTGTTTGATGGTAGTTTGTTAAAAAAACGTAGAGCAAAAAACGGAGCTGATTGCTAGATCGAAATTTTTTTGAGTTACAAGTGTGATTTTAATATTTTGAGCTTAATTGTTAACCAAAATCAATTTTGCAATAAAGAAACAGACAGATTTTAGTTAACAGTGACGCATCCACTGATTTATTCACCGTTACATTAAACAAGCAAAAAAAAAAAATTATTGACAGTTTTGGAAAAAACTATTTGCTTGTTTATTTGTTGCCCCTTGTTTTTGCACTTTTTTATCTGCAAAGAAGTATTTCAAACATGTTGAAAGGTTTAGTAGTGAGAGCGGTATACAAAAATAGTGGTGGATTTCAGTTGTTATTTAAAAAAATGTATGCAAATTTATTATACTCGTCGTTTTTGTATCTCTCATTCTAAAATATTACTGATGTTTTCAGTTCTCGTATTTCGAAACAGGAGATGTACATCAATGGCGTAAAACAAGCGGAAAAAAGTAAAATACGGGCGTTTATGGAATATAAAGGTTGAAAATACGTTTTTCTGTTCTTTTTCCCGTTTATTTTCTTGTATGCATCTGTTGTTTTTTTCATTAATCGAAATTGGCTTTACATTTACATTTTTTTTTTACATTTCTACGTTAAATTTCAGGTCCAGAAGGTGGGTTTGTTGTGAATCTAAGCGATAATTTGGAGGATGAATTGTCGGAGGAAGAAGCAGAGGAAAAGTCTGAAGAGGTTTCACAAATATCTGAAATTCCCGAAGACTCGAGTTCCGATGTTACTTCTGTATCACACGATGCAGCCTTGAAGGCTAAAGCTGATAAAGCAAAGAGACGACTCGAGAAGGCCTGGCATGCCGCTAAGGAGTTAGTTGATTCTGAGCAACGTTATGTTGAGAAGTTGAGACTTCTCAGCGAGGTAAGACATATCATCTCTCTTTTCTGACAGTTTTTAGTCAGATTTTTGGTAAATATGCCGTAATCTTGTTTAGTTTAGCTTAAATTTCTGTTTTTTCTTTCTTCTTCCAAGAGCAACTTGCCTTGGGTACAGGTTTTTCGAAGACGTGTGGTCGAAGAAAGAGTGGTGGAAAACAAAAAAGTCCCTCTTCTGTTTGCCAACGTTGATAGTATTTATCAGTTTCATGAAAACCATTTGTTACCGGCTCTTATGGAAAGCTGCCGTGATTGGCATTCAACTCATAGGTTTCTCTTTGTGCATATTTGTTCTTTTTCGCTAAAAAAGTTCTTCAGCTATTTCATTGCAAAAAAAAATGAAAATAAATTAATTAATGCATTTTGAAGAATAAGCAACGTACTACGGAAGCGTGCACCGTTTTTGAAAATGTACTCCGAATACACGAATAACTATAAAACTGCATTACAAATGTTCACTGAATGTTTGCGGAAGAAGAGAAAATTCGCCAAAATCGTGTCAGAAATTGAGGTTTTATTGTGGCTTTTTTTAATCATATTTTGCTAACAGTTTTTGACTGATGTGTTAAATTAGAATTTCTTCATGCATGGAACGAAAGATGCAAAAAGAGTTAAGCGGTGTTACTTTTCCAATTTTTAGCGAACTCCTGAATGCGAAAACTTGTCTTTACAAACACATTTGATATGTCCCGTTCAACGGGTAATGCGTTATCAGCTTCTTCTTCAGGTAGAAACTGTTGTATTGTTTACTTTCTTGTTAAATTTTTCGGGTATTTTTTGACCGTAAATAAAAATGATCTGATTTAGAAACTCAGATATATTTGAGGGTCCTGTTCAAAATGGATTTCTGGTTCTTAAGATGATCATTTTTTTAATTAGCATTAGACGTTTACCAGTATCTACACCAGTACCGTGTATCTTGAATTTTTAACCGTAAATAAATTAAGATTTCGGATTATTCTTAACTGTTCTGATAAGCCTAATAGCTTAGCGGCAATCGTCCAAAAAAATTGAGAATATTTTTTGAGCTATTTTTTAGTTTTCTTTTTTGCTCAAGTTCAAATGCTTTTTTGAAGGAATACAAAAAGCATTTAACTCCAACTGACCCTGATTACGATGATACTGAAAACGCTTTATCACTGGTCTTGGATGCTGCAGGCCATTCTAATGAGATGATGAAAAAACTGGTGAGTTTGAGCAAAACAGTTCAACATAATCACAAAGTTGTCGATCACTTTTGATGAGTGGAATTTTTTCAATGTATCTGCATTAATTAGCCATTGCTACATTTCAGGATCGTTATAAAAATGTATTGGAAATTCAAGAACAACTAGGAAATACTGTATCGCTTGTTTCACCAAGTCGTGAGCTAATAAAGGAAGGAAAAATTTATAAGGTGTGAGCTGGTCTTTGAAATATTGTTGTTCGCTGCAGTTATGAATTTATTAATTGCTCTTTGTTTCAACAGCATCTTAGCGCTTTTCTAGGTATCTTCGAATTCTGATCGTAGTGAGGAAAGGCAGCTTTTTTTGTTCAATGACTTATTGGTTGTTGCGTCAGAGAGAACTATTCCAGGGTTTGGTAAATACAAACTTCGTGCACTGTTTGATGCGCTACTTACACAGGTTAGTCTTTTGGGAGTCCAAGTACTTCTCTCGCTCTTAACAAGTAGGAAAGCGTGAATGATTGATTTTAAAGTAGAAAGGGAACGTATAGTTGGTTATTAATTGATTAAGATGAAATTGCCGCTGAGATTAGTGATAAAATTTGTTGTCAACAAAGAATCGCTTTTTAGGTTTGTGAAGGCGATGATCTTGAGCGTGAAAACTCTTTTTATATTCGAGGCTCTGATAGTCGAACGGGTCCATCAAGGTTTCTTTCTTATTTTTCTATTTTCTTTGTCTTTATTTGCAGGTTGTTAGTTACGACGATTCTTAAATAACTTTAAGCGCATACTTTTACAGGTGCATAGAGCTATTCGCTAAGACTGATGTGGAAAAGCTGGAATGGATAGAGGCAATTTGGAGTGTAATAAGTGATAGTGTTTCGCGCAAAGATTCGTTTGGTAATACAAGCCGGACGGTTTGTTTTGCTCATTTTTTTCGCTCTTTTCTTTGGTCTTGACTTCCTCGCCAGTTCGCACTTTTTAGTAAATTTTTTAAACTAAATAGTGGCACTGTTTGGATCAAAAATTTGATTAAGTTACTAGAGATACTATTATTTTTCCTCTTTTTTGTAGTTTACCTTGCTGCCAAAAAAGAAATGAGAATTTTTTTCTTGTTTATTGATTCTACTTGTTTAACTCATTGTTTTACTAAGTCTTGTAGTAAATTATTTTACCTTTCTTTCTCAAAAATCGTTGTTCGAACCGGGGAGAGGAGGGGACAGCGGCAGATATTTTTGACTCTTAATTATATGCAAAAGATGTTTGAAGTTTAGACGAGAATTAAATCATTCTACTTTAGAATAACTGCAATTGTAGAGTGTAAAATTTTGAAAATTCCATACAAAGAACAACATTAAAGTGGGTAAATTTTTTTGTTATTAACGATTTCTCAGTTTCTATAATTAGTAAAATTTACCAAGGAAACATCTAGTGAGTGGTTTTTTATCTGAAAAACCATTTTGTTACTGCAGGAGGAAGAGTTTGTGCAACGCTGAGGTCGCTTTAAAATGCTTTTTTTTGGTTTTTTATCTAGAGGAGAATTGATGAAAGTTTTTAGACAATTTATTAGTTGTTGAAATCCGGAGGTTTGCAAACTAATAATTTTCGGTAGATGGAAAACTTTGGCATTTGAACAAAATTTAAATTGACTACAGGGATTATTGTCTGTTCTGCTAATTAAAAAGAAAAGTGTGGAAGGATTTAAAGACGAAGAGTGGTATTATTCTTAAATGAGTTCCACAGAACAATTTTAAATTATTTACAGTCACAAGAGACGGCAAATGTGAGCCGTATATGCACTAAATGTGGCGCTGACTTCACGCTTTTCAACCGTGGGACCAGCTGTGTAAGGTGTCGTAGGCGATATTGCAATAAATGTTTTGGAAAGTACCGTAAAATGAGCAGTAAACGTCGGTTTTGCGAACTCTGCATTTCGCGACATGTTCGTTTTTCTACATCAATTCTGCCGCTTTTCTATTTTTATTTTTAATCTAATAAACTTGATTTACAGTCTCGTCGTCATAGAGGAACTGAGAATAAGGTTCAGACAAGAGTCGATCCCTTAGCTATACGTGCAGACGCTGGCGATATTCTTTATGCAAGTCACGTTACATTTAGAGGTTCTCAGAATAAGCCAATGAAAAGATATTTTGTAGTACGGAAAGATTTCTGCTTATACTCTTACAAAACCGAAGATGTAAGTTTGATGAAGTATATCATAATTGTTTGTGCTGAACTTTTACTAGGAGAGTGTCAAGTGAGTCTTTTAAAATAGATTTTAAGTTTATTTAATTGCCGCTAAGGTATAATTTTAATTAGCTAATTGTTCATTTACCGGCCTGCGTTTTCTTCGTTAGTTTTTTTTCTTCAGAAGGCCTCAAGTAGGCTTTAACAGCGTGCAGTAGTTTCTAACGTTGTTATGTTTTTTAACTGTAAATTAGCTTCAAATTTTAGAGTAGCTCTTTGTAAGCTTACCACTACCAAGACATTAGACTGTTTTTGTTGTTTGTGAAAGATGGAAAACTAATAGTATGATTAAGACAGCCAAAATAAAAATTTTGACGGAACGTTTGAAGCGAGTTGATTATAGGTTGCTGAAAAACTTTATGGACTTTTTCCCAATAACTTAAGTATAGTACCAAATGCCAGTGCCAATTATTCATTAGGAGCTTAAGTGTTGGATTTAATAGTTATCAGCATAAGTAATCTTTAAACTTGTATGTGAAGCGTTTTTACTGACATAACAATTTTATGCATAGTGTATTCAAAATTTCAACGCTGTTTTTACTGCCTTGGAAGGAGTTTTATACAAATTAATTTTGACACTAAAAATATATTCAACTGATATCCAAACTGCAGTAATTATCTCATTGTTTTTCTCTTTTTAAGGAGGATCGGGCTTTAGCGATGCTACCTCTTCCCGGGTGTGAAGTTAAAATGAGCGGAGAAAAGTTAACATTTACCATAAAGCATGGCGAACGGCAATATTCGATTACTGTTGGAGATGAAAACACACAAATTCGGTGGATGGCAGTTCTTGATCTCACTGCAAATGCTGCTTTGCAAGTAAGGAAATCTAGGTTGTGAATTTATTGTTTGGTTTTACGTTTCCTTTTTTCTTTCCAGAGTCTTTTTCAAACAGATTTGCGTTATGAATGTTGCTACATTCCACGCTTATAAATACATAATTAAGATGCTATGTTATTATTCTGCTTTCGTACCAATATTGTTTGCTAAAGATTTCTTAGCAAATAGTTTTTTGTTCGTTGTTTTAATGCTAATTTGTGCAGTTGATTGCATAAGTGGGCTCTTGTTGGTTTTTTGTTATGAAACAGTGACTGTTTTTGTTTTGAACGAATCTAGAAATCACACTTTTGTTTTTCTTTGTGGCCAAAAATTTTCTTTTTTAGCCTTACATTCTTTTATTAGCATTTTTGTGAAGTGTAGAAATCTTGATAAATCGAAAATTCAAAATAAGACAAAGAAAAATTTCAAAAGAAAATGCCAGAGGTTTTGAAAGGACAAAAAACCTGCGTTTGCAAGTACGGGTGTTGTGATTGTGCTCAGTTAAAATTAATAGTTCTCTACTTTTCTTTTCTTATTTTTCTGTTTTTTTTTATTGCAATATTTTGTTGACCATATTTAATGCTAATAATGATGAGTATATAGACGGAACCGATTGCAAGTAGTAGAAATAGCTTTTTCCACTTTTATTTCAATAGTGAGAAGCACATCACATCAGGACCTTCATTGTTGTCCATGATTTTGTATATTTTTCTAATCCGTGAAGTGACATTGACTATGTGGTCTTGTCGTATTGGAATTCCCAGTTTTAAGTGACTAAAAAGCTGTGATTGAAATCGATGTATAACAAGTGAATACTGCTGAGTATTACTGTGCCAGTTTACTAAACTTCTAATCGAGAGAAAAAACTATTCTTATAATTGTTGTAAATGCTGAAACTATTGTAAAAACCACAAGCTAAACAGGATATACAGGACTGAAGAAAACCGAAGGGAAGCGAAGAGAATGTGTAATGTCTATTCAAAATATACGTGTATTTTTTTTTGTTTACTCGAGTGAAATTTACAGTCACTTGTCTTTTTTTAAATCGCTGCTAACGGTTCAACCGACCAGTAAGCATGTACTTATCCTAGCTATATTAATTTCAGATGTCAATTAAGTCTGTACCAGCTGGTTTTGTCCAGTTGCTGTTTTTAGTCCTGTGTCTAGCAGCCCAATTTTAAAGGTTAAATAATTAGGCCTAAAAACCAAATGTTTTGAAAAAATGAAATGATGGAGTTTCACAAGCGAAGTTTTTTGAACCACGCAGGTGTAGAGAACAAATATCGCCATTTACATATATTCTTCATTTACAATATTTGAAAGTATTATGAGCATCGGTGAAGAATTAAAGACTATCTGCATGACAATAATTGTTGAGATTCCATAGTTTTTTGGAGGAAGTGATACGAAAAAATTGAAAGCAAGACCCGTAATTACGTAAAGATTCTTAAATATCAATACTATAGCAAATGAAGCAAAAATGAATAATTGTTACAAGTAAATGTGAATCAGACTCATCAGATTTACGAACAAATACCACTGATTGTTCATCCTACAGTAATGCTTAACATTTTGGCCGGAGGTTTGCCTTACAATGTTTTCTGTTTCAATTAGAAAAGAGGATTATGCAAAAAAAATAAACAAATAAATAAAAAATGTTTGTTGAAACATTGAGGAATTTTAAATTGCTTTCCACGAACAGGATGAACACATGTTTTACCTATGCTTTTTTTGCGGCTAAAAAATGCTATCCTAAAAATGAAGACCAGATTTGTACAGAGCAAAAAATGACTATGATCAAGGATGAGCGAACAAGTAGCAAATGATCGAGTAGACATAAGTAAAAAACAATGAATAAATTAAAGTATCCCTATTATTTCTGCAGTAGTAGTGACTGTAAATAGTGACTGAGAACTGTTATCTTTATTGCTGATGTTACTACTACATTCACCACTACTGCGTTACTGTCATCATTGTTTACTATTTACTATAGTCATAATTACTATTTGTAAAACCTGTAAAAATTAAATTACTGTTTGGCGAAGATAGGTCCTAAATATTGCAAATTCGGCAAGATCGCTCACCAACACACTATCAGCAAGCAAGTTATCTGTCGTTAACAGCTAATCCTAAAGAACTATCTGTATCACATTTGTAGCTTAACGACCGTCTGTCACTTCGACTTATTCCACTTTCAGCAGCCAAGCGTAAACAACGATGATATTCAGTACGTTTCAAAAATCTTTAATGCTGCTACTATTTCTAACCAAAGTAGTCCTGAAATTACATCATCAAAGTGTCATTCCTCTATAAAATGTCTCAAATTAATCCAGTTTTGTTCAGAGCATTTGTTGCACAGTAAATATCAGTAGCAAGCTTACTAAATCTTTATATCACTCTCTTGCCTATCTGCAGAAAAAAACTTCTCAACAGGAATCTTCTCAATAAAATATCGAACTTGACATTTTCTAGACAATGTAAAAAATTGAAAAGTAAGTTGCACTTTGAAGTAACTTTGAGGAAGAGATCTCTGAGGCAATTAAAATGCATTTTCAAACTCGCTGCGAAATTTTTTATACTGTACATATCTTAACAATGCCCTGCCTTTTCTTTATGACGTTTGTACACAACTTATCACTTGGTTATACTTGGTTCATTTTCATTCAAACTCCGTAAAAATAAGCTTCAAAAAATTTTTTTGTCACTACTTGTAGATTTTGCATCCATTCGAAACAGCTGCATAAGCGGTTACTGAATACAGTAAAGTAATTTCATAACTGTTTCTTGCGAAATCTTGACAGAGTGCTTAATAAAGTAATTTAAACGTTTTTCAGTATTTTATATCTAAATCTAGGTAGAGCAGGACCATGTCTCCCAGTTAGACTCGGTATTTTCACTACCATGGTAAGACAATATATTGCGCTTCCCTATCCCTCAGTCGCTGCTTTCTGCTCTCCCAGAGATCCCGCTTCAGTCTCTATTATATGACTAGCACGCTTTTTTTTCTCCTTTCAATCCCTTTATTTGGAATTATTCTTTTCCATCTACCTCAGTTATGGATTTTGAGAGTTTCTCTCATTTTAAAACAATTTGATTACTGCCTTATTAGTTCTGTAAAAGCTATGACAAAAAATATAATATCAGCAGTGTGGACCACTTTTGAGTTAGTAATAACTACACATGAATGCTCAAAAACTTTATCTTATTGCTCAAAAATTAATTAATCTAGACTCGTAGAAAAATTAATTTTATCAGGAAATAACAGAAAAGAAAAGCAACTTTTAATAAATAAGGCACCTCATCGTCGTCTTCAATGTTTGTTCGGTGACGGTAAGAATCCTTCCTAGAGTTGCTGTTGTATTCATTGTGAAACCCAGTCCCTTGCCTGGCCCAGTAATCATTTTCATTATAATAATATGGTATTGAGTTTGTCTCGACACGTCGACGGTAAGTCGTACTGGAACGACCACAAATTAATGTGCACCAATAAGGAGCGAAGCTGTCTGCCAGAGCGTAGCAAACAATGAGAATATTTGGTTTCTTAACAACAAACAAACAATTTCGAGGTAAGAGTTTTGTATTATATAAAAACCTTTCGTCGACAAATCCATTATGCCTTCTCAGTAAAATATTGCTCGTCCTCCTCGTCTCTTGAATTTTGCTGGTGAAATTTTTTTGTTCAAAGGCAGCTCGCTCATAATCAGCTGAATCTATGGGATAACCGGACGAATCCAGCCCCAAGGCTTTCGGATCGTAACAGTCATCAGCCTGCAGCCGCGTATTAACAGTAAGATGGCCACGAGGAAATGAATCGACTTCGTCAAAATCTTTTGATCGACTGTCATCCGATCCGTCTACCATTTGTTGCAAACCAGTAAAAATTTGATTATATATCTCCGTCATCTACAATCCGCAAATTGAAAAAAACTTAATTTTCAGAATAAACTCAAAAAGCCGTTTTCAACACCAATTGTAAATAAACTGTATCAAGAAATTAGGGAGGAACCTTTACATCTAATGTAAGTAAAGACACTAGCGGCAAGTGGTGAGAACTTCTAAAGTTTTAACAAGATCCAACCTTAATTACAGAATTGAATTCTACATATCGACACGGTTGCTAAACAGACAGGTATGAAAGTATGACAGAAGACTTTCATAAGAACGCACCTGAGGTTGGTTTGTATTATTGACTGCATCTTTGTTCATCGCTGAAAAAGGTAACGTAGTAACCACTGGTGCAGAATACATAGCTTCATGGCGATAATAATCAGTTGTTTCCATGGTCTTCAGATTCCTTGAAGTAAAGAACGTCAAGAAGTTCGTCAAGCTGAAATTAAAAGTAACTTACAAACTTAGATGTTGAGCATTTTTCAGACATTGAATAAGGAATTCATTAATATCCTGCATTACATTGAACTATTGTCAGGGTAGCTGACCAAAAAACGCAATATGAGTATAAGTGACTAACTTTCTTCTGTAAAGGAATAAAGAAAGGATGAAAAATATGGCCATAGCTACTGAAGCAGCTCCAACGATGATCCATAAATACCATGAACCAGAAGAATAAATCGGTTGTAGTACTGGTTTGGGGGGAATAGGCAGTGGTGGTTTGAGTACGCATGCCCTATTATTCTTCGACCCCTATAAACCACGAAACTCTTAATTAACAAGCGTCTGGTTAAAAGATCTTTCAGTCCCAGTATTAACCTTCTTTTGTGTCGTTGTAGACAAAACGTCAAAAACAATTTTACACGGTTTATAAATTTTCATACCAAAGAGCGCACAAAAACATAGAGTTTGAGGAAGTTACAACGTATCTAAAATTTTCAGAGTCCATGATTTCTTCTTGCAAGAGTATTTTTTGGAGAAAGTCAATATAGACTTAAAAAAACTTAAAAACTTCAAAATAAAAACAACAATAAGCAACTAATATACCTCATCATTTGTAGTTGTTCCGTTGGGGCAAGGAATGCATGACGTTTGGTTTTCTGAGTGCTAAAGCGTGAAAAAATTGTCACTTATACTTTTAAAAACGTATTTAAACTTTTTACTACTTGTTGTATTTATGACAACGATAAATAATTTAGAAGTACAATAGTTTTATACGTTAACTTTACTAATTTTATTCAATAAATAGTGCCAAAAAGAAACTTAAGTTTTGAAAAATCTCTTACTTTTAGAAAACATCTTGCTTACAGGTTTAGCAAAACTAAACTTGACCTGATAAGAACCGACAGGACACAGAATACAAACGTCTTCAAGCTTATTGTCAACTTCATTAATTATTTCTGGACAGTCTGGGTTGAAGTATGTGCCAGTAGGACAAAATGGGATATTGCAGTTATAACGACTAATGCTTCCTTGCGGACTGCTAAAGCCACTTTCACAAGCAATGCAAGTAACTACACTTTGGTCATCGGGCTTGTAAGATCCAGCGGGGCAGTCCTTACATGTTTCGTCAACACTTATAGTTTTACCTGCACCACAAAAGAAACATTCATTTGACGTAGTAGCACCCTGGAAAGCCACCGGTCCAGTAAAGTAAGCAGTGTTTTTGAAGCAAGCTTTAAGAATAAACTAATAATTGATCAATTTTTGTGGAAAAAGCATACTGTACGGTTTGTTGTAGACCCTGGACCACATGAATAGCAGTCAGTAGATCCATGATCTGGTTGATAGGTACCGATTCTGCATCGGTCGCAAGCTGACAGCTCGCTTGAAAAATACCAGCCAGGCAGACAGTCCTCTGATTATATAATTAATAATACTGCGAAACAGAACGATGTAACCAGAAGCGAAAAGGCAACAAAATAAACTGAATAGAAAGCTTGATTAAACTCAGTAAAAAAGTTAAAATTTTTGAAAAAAAATTTGAGAAAGAAAAATACTTTGCTTTTAAAAGAATTTTGGTTTTAATACTTACGGTAACAGTCAGACTGCATTATTGCTCCTATAGCACCCGTTATGGTGTTGTCTGGACAGTCAGTACACTCCCCATTGCCCTCCTGATCGTTATATGTATTTAAAGGGCATTTTTCACAGCTTCTAGTGCTTTCATTCAAATACCACCCTCTGCTACACTTTACTAAAAAAATAAAGATTATTTTTTGCATCAGCTTTGAAGACAATTGTTGAAATTAGTAAAAAAACTGCAAGGGAATTACCACAAGCATATTCAGAGTTTTTTTCGTATAACATCGGGTAGTCGTCTGGACAGGTATAATTAGTTGCCAATGATCTTGAAGCTCCGTGAAACATTTTATCGACAGTTTTATTGATGTAGTTGGCGACTGCTTTACGACTCC